TTCCCCCAGGACCTTACAGAAACAAGCCAAAATGCTCTCTAGAGGAATAGACCATCATCCTAGTCCTCAAACTATTTCTACAAACAAATTTCCAAATATAACATCCATCATGCAATTAAGGATAACCAATCATGAAAGGAGAGAAGATGAGAGACAATGAAAACAGCCTCTAAGGGGCTTGAAAGTTTGGATTTATCAGACACAGACCTTAAAATAACTATGTTTACTATGCTTGAGAAAATAACAAAACAAGATTAAAAACTTTGTAGAATAACCAAAATTCTGAAAAGTGTCAGAGAGGATTTGGAATTCTAGAACTAAAAAATACAATAATTGAGATAACTCAATGAATGAGTTTAACAGCAGATTAGATACATCTGAAGAGAGTGTTTGTGAACTGGAAGATAGGTTAGGAATAAAACATGGAGAAGCAAAAATTGGAATATAAAAAGGAGAGCATTGGAAACAAAGAGAATATGAAGAGAAGATCTAACATTGGAATCTCAGAAGGAAAATTGAACTGAAGCAATTTCAGAGATAATAGTTGAGGATTTTCCCATGAATCTGCAGATTCATGAAGTCACAGAAACCTGGGGCAGAATAAATAAAAAGGAATCCACACCTAGAACGATCATATTAAGACTACAGAAAAATAAAGACAAAGTGGAAAATCTTAAAGACAGTCAACAATAAAAGATTTCCTTTGGAGGAACAACAGTTAAAAATTTCACTGAATTTTCAACAGCAACAATGGAAGCCAGGAAACAATGGAATGTATGTTTAATGGACTGAAAAAAATCACTGCCAATGTAGAATACCACACCCAGTAAGAATATCCTTAAAGAATGTAAGTGAAATAAATCATTTTCAAACAAACAAGAACAGAATTCTTAGCCAGCAGATCCTCATTTAAAAAAAGTTACTAATAAAAGTTCTTCATGCAAAAGAAAAGTAACCCCAGATGGGAGGTCAGAGATGCAGAAGGACGAAAAAGCAATAAAAATGGAGAGTTGGCAGGCTGAACTCTGTACTAGAATGTGATGCTGAAGAACTATAAGCTGATTTACAGGATGAGGTTATCTTCCCCCTGTATGACTTAGAAATTGTATTTGGCTATCCTCTAGAAGAAAATAGTTAAACCCTATTGTCAAGCACATTTTGGAATACATTTTTTGCTACTTTGGGGTGGAGGAAAACAAGATGCTATGAAGACGAGACAGACACAATTTACTTCATAATTTGTACAATATAAATGGCCAAAGAAACCATTTACAAAGTAGTAGACAGAGAAAATATTTGCAATAATTTATCAGCTAGGATTAGATTTTTCTGCATGTAAGGTGGGACCTCGGGGTGGAAACAAGTAAAACAGAGGGGTTTTACGAGCTTTGAGATAATATTTTACTTGTTAAACCACATATGTGTGGTTCATTGATTAATTGATTTAAAAAATATAGGTAATGAATTTAAAAAGAAAAGCTAAGAGATCTAAGCTTTTGATGTGTGTAGAGATTTTAGTTGGTCTGGCAGCTGGCAGCTCTGTTTTCCATTACATGACTTGAAAATATGTTCAAATGCGAAATTCTGACATTTATGCTACCAAACTAAGATAAGGAATAGCCTTTCCCAGTGGTTTGTAAGAAAAATGTAAATAGTTGTATATTCAGGAAATTTAATTTTTCAACATTGACTACATATCCCTTAATGTCCCTTCCAGCCCTAGAGTTTTAAGATTCATTCTAAATTTTGTGAGAATATTAGTCCTAAATTATTGAGACCTAAGTTCTTTGCTGTAAGGATGGGCCAATGGGGCTTCCAATGATTCTATTCCATTGTTTTCAGGGGAGTCGTCACTGACCAGAATTATTCTGTCAACAGTGATGCTGTTGAGTGGTCCTCTCAGTGTATTCCTGTCTCACTCACCTTATCCAGTCTGCCAGTGCCCTTTATTTCAGGGTGTTTCTATACCACGTCCCTCTGCTCTCTTAAAACCACCATGCTGAGATGAGAGTGTAGTCAATAGCTTAACCAAAACAATTCAGGGAGGTTCTCCACAGGCAGGAATAGCTGGATGGCAAAGTTGACCTTTGGCAATAACTGAATTTTATTCAAAGCCAATCATTGTCCCAGGCAAAAGCAAGAGGGGAAAAAAGGGGCGCTCACCTGTCGGAGTTTGGTTCCCACCATAGAGGCACTGCTGTCAAGCACAAATACCACGTTCTTGGGTAAAGGAGGAAGGCCTTTAGGGGCAAAGTAGTGCACAAAATAGCCATCTAGGACCTGGTGGAGAGAAAATAAAGTAAAAATGGTAGTGCCCAGAGTAGGGAGAGAAAATACCTAACGTGGAACCTCCACATGTTAAAGACAGCATGAAGCAGAGTCTAGGGTCACATTCCACACGCAGAGCAAATTCTCTATGGTCCTGATCCCTCCAAGAGAACTAATTGATAATTTAATCTGTATAACGATGAACTCATCCCTCAAAATATTATCGATTATGAATACCAATTCAATTTCAATTATCCATCCCCTTCTGATCCTTGCTATTTGAAAATTTTGCATCCTTCATTGTCTGTTATTTACCAAGATAGCAAAGAAATTTTATAATTTGAGACGTCAAAGATGTCTACATTCTAGAAGCACACTTAAATATTTTAATACTCTCACACTGTCTCTGGAGCAATAAAACCCAATGGGAAATGAGTCATGGAACAGTCTCTTTTAATTAAAATTGAAGATGAACTAAAATTCTAACTTCATCTAAAACACCACAGGGAAAATTATATGACAGATTTCATTCACTCTCCAGATTACTGAAGCAAGAAATAGGTACTCTCAGCTTCCAACAAGGGAACACTGTGGGTCTCTTTGAAGACACATTTGGGACTAAAACAAATTTACTAAAAATCAGAATGATCTCTCTCCCTTAGGTAAGTAATGGGATCCATAGTCCTGAGTCAACTAAAAGTATCAAGCAACCAGCATGAAATAGCAACTGCAAACCCATTACCTGGATGTCCCCAATGCTCTGTTCCCTATTGACGTCGTATCGAATGATGAAATCTCCCAAAATTCCATTCTGGGCAATCTTGGCTTGTTGGACCACACTAGGCTTAAAAATGACTTTGGCAAAAGTTTCATTTTGGTTGATAACAGTAGAAGGAGGAGGTCCAGAATCATCTGCAAACAACATGTAAACATAATCAATAACAGAACACATCAATATTTTTCTGGAAAGAAATAGTACTGTTTTGCATAGACACAGTGGGTAAGACTTTATTTTATTGCAGGTTTGCATTTCATGTGAGCTCCTAAGACTTTTTACTGATAACAAATCGCAACGGAAGAGACATGCTATCGTGTATTTCACCTTTACGCCTCTTTTGAACCTTTTCTTATGAAAATGATTAAAACACACAAAAGTAGAGAGAATAGTGAAATGAACCTCCATGTACCTGTCACTTAACATTAACAATTATCAGTATTTTACCAATATTTTGTATATGTTTTTATCTATTCCATCACCACATTTTCTGGATTTTTAAAAAAATCCCAGACATCATATTTCTCCATAAATACTTCAGTATGTATTGCTAACTATGAGATCTTTTTTTCAAACATCACCACAAAACCATTACCACAAGAAACAAAATGCTCAATGCCTTAATACTGTCTAATACTCAGTTTGTGTTAAAATTTTCCCAGTTCTCTAAAAAATGTCTTGGTATGGTTGATTTGTTTGAATTGGGGTCAAAACAGAGTCCCTACATCACATTTCACTTACATTTTTTTTTTGTCTTTTTTGTGACTGGCAAGGGGATCACAACCCTCGTCTTGGTGTCGCCCGCACTGCACTCAGCCAGTGAGCGCACCAGCCAGTCCTATATAGGATCCAAAACCGCAGCGGGAGCGTCACTGCGCTCCCAGCGCTGCACTCTCCCGAGTGCGCCACGGGGCCGGCCCTCACTTACATTTTTTAAGTCTTTTTTACTCCACAAGTCCCCTCCCCCACTTCTTTTCTAAGCTACACATATTCATATGCTGCAAAACGCTGTTCATGTACCTTGTGGAATTTCTCATATTCTGTATTTCGTTTCATATGCTTTAACTTGGTCCCCACTTCTCCTGGTTCCAGCTTTGGCTCACATTGCAACATCTGGGAAAGCTATAAAAAATATTGATTCCCAGACCCAGAGATTCTCATTTAATTGGTCTAAGACCCAGCCTAGGCATTGGGACAAAATTCCACATATGATTCGATTGTGCAGTCAAGGCTGAGACCCACAGCTCAGTGCCCTATTTTCCTTGTGTTCTGACAGTTAGAGCCAGAAACTCATTTTGATTCAGGTTCAATGCCATGGCAAGAACACTTTCAAGGTGCTGCTGAGAACCTTCTACATCATCGTGTGAGAAGGTGCATAAAACCTCTCTGTCTACTTTTAGTGTCGGTAAGACCGATAGTTCAGGTCCAGATGTTGTCAGTCTGATCTGCCACTATACAGTTCCCCATCCACCTTTCACTTAATAGCTTTACCAATCACTGATGACACTTGTCTAAACCCACTCTTTCATCAAAATTGCAAAACGGTGGTTTCTAATTCTACCATTCCTTCCATATTCCATAAAGAAAACCTTTCCCTCATTATCTGAATGACCTAACACACCATTTGTCCAGAAAGTTTATGGCCCTTTTTTAAACAAAACAAAAAAAATTCCCAAAGCTCTCCCCAGCCATGAACCTTAGGATATAAGTTAGAATAACAGAAAGATAAACAGATAAATGGATTTTATGTGATTTATGAAAAAACTAGTGAGATGATAAAGTAAAGAACATTCCATTTTTTTACTCCTGACTTTCACTTCCTGTTAGAACACAGAGAATTGTTTAGCAGACTCCCCATTTTTATAAATCCAAACAACATCATATCTATGAACATAGCAATAGAAATCCAAATTTTGAGATCTGTGTGCACCATGAGAAATATAAAAATTAAAGTAAGAATTCTTAATCTTAAGTATATGTGGAGGCTTTTTATCCAGGTACAGAATCAAAGCCAGACTTACAACTGATCTTTGACAGAGGTACCAAGAACATACATTGGGGAAAGGACAGCCTCTTCAGTAATGGTGCTGAGAAAACTGGATATCCATATGTAGAAGAATGAAACTAGACCCGCACCTCTTACCATATGCCAAAATCAACCCAAAATGGATTAAAGTCTTAAATATGAGACCTGAAACTATAAAACTCTTGAAAAATAACATAGGGGAAACACTTCAGGAAGTAGCATTGGGCAATGACTTTATGAATACAACCCCCAAAGCACGGGCAATAAAAAGGAAAAATAAACAAATGGGATTATAT